TATTTCGTTCTTTTAAGAAAAAAATATTTTTATTAAACGAAGGTAATTCCATAATATCGCAAGATATAGTGGGATTATCTTCGTTAATAATAAAATACAACGAAAGATACAATTAAAATATTGGCATAGTAAAAAATGGCCAACAAATATAACTTTGTTGTATGTATTTTTTTAATTAATTTAATCAAAATTAAAATCTACTTATTCAGAAAATATGTTTTTTTTACTCTCTGTTTAATGAAAAATTTTTAAAACGCATTAAAACTGTATAAGTTTGTAATTTTGTATTGGTAGTCTAGTTTAGTACCTAAGGTTAATAACAGATGGCACTGTCAAAAAGTTAGACCGCGCTATAGTTTCATTTGTTACTAGCCACTCGTCTCTGTTTCGGAAAGTTGGAGGATTTTTACATTTTAAAAAGTGGCCATTAAGGCTGCACACGCGACGGAAGCTTAAAAATGGAGTAACTTCTCCCATTTTCCCAACATTTCCCTTCACTGCTCTGCTCCTATTGATCGTACCGTAATGAGAAGTATATTATAACAGTACGGGGGGTGATTAGTGATCGATACTGATGCTAAAAATGCAATCAGAAAATTTTTGTATGTCTGTCTGTATTTCGTTATAACAAAAACTACTGCTCTTCATACTCCTCGGCAGGTTATGAAGATCATAATTGTACATCAAAATCACTGAACCGTGATGATTTATTTTACGAAAAACGTGAAATCGAACAGCTAGTAAACATTAAAAGAATAGTAAACATTAAAATATGGATTTAAAGTAATAAATTGACAGTTTTAAAGTAACAAATGTTGTTGGAAGATATCTGCATACATTGTTATATTTTCTGTTATAGATAATTGGATTGTGATACAAATTATTATTACAAATCGTTATATAAAATATTTTCTGTATGCTTTTATTATCTGTGCGAAATGAAACAAGGCTCAACATTATGCTAGTGTCCCATTTATAGTTTATTATTTTATAGAGTGATGAAATCAGATATAGATCTTCTATTTATAAAAGAATTGATGTTAAAGTAAGTCTTAATTCATAAGAACGTATTTCCATATAAACTAGGATCAACTGTACCAACTTATTCTATGTTTTAATGCCAGAAACCAAACATTCATTCAGACTTTATCATTTAACCATGATTGAGAAATATAAGATTGTGTTTCACAAAAAAAGAAACCGACTTCAACGATGACAAAATCATTTATTTTGATTTATAAATCCAGTTATTTTGATAGGAAAACTAAATTACTGAACCGAAAACGATAAAATTTCTATGGGACTGATCTGAAAGTATTTTCTTTGAGATAAAAAAATAATTTTCCAAATTGGTTTATAATTGATGAAATTTTAAGGTAACAAACATAAAAAAATACCATCAAGTTGAGAACCGCCTTTTTTTCTGAAGTCGTTTGAGAAATCTAAACATCGTTACAAATTACAATACTACTTATTTGGATACACAATTAGATTTTTTTACAGACAATTGTCTGTAGACAATATATTGGGAACTTGGTAGAATAATAACACTTATACAGACATTTCTTAGAAATTAGTGCATTGTTCTAATAGGAATACAAAATAAAAAGAAAGATTTTTTTTTATACAACTTAGAATGGCAAACAAGCTGACGGCTCACCTGATGGAAAGTGGTAACCGTCGCCTATAGACATGAGCAGTACCATGGACAAACAGAGTATACTGTTTCGCCCATGATACCCCCATGCGTTGCCATTCCTGAGGACTCAGATGTTATTCCTCTGTACCCAGTAAATTCACGCCATATCCCACCCTTCAAACCGAAATACAGACATGCAAACACAACTGCTTCACGGTTGAAACACGAATGGGACAGAGGTACCCAAGCAATCGACTTTTGTACAAAGTCTCCCTGTAAGTAAAATTTGTGGTTGTCAGTACGTCAGCAACATGTATGAAATGGCTGTAAAATCTGACGACTTGTGACGCGTGTTTACCGAGATACAGAAATCTTTAATTTTATGTCATTATGCGATCACCAATCTTAAGAATAACCACGTCGAATGTTGCATAAGTTTGTTTTTTCTTTTAACTTCAATTACTGCAGGTATTAAAACAAAATTATAGATAATGTATGTTCTTTTATGTGCAATACAAATAAAATTAACAGCTGAGAGAGCCGTGAGAACGTGTGATGTTATCACGTGATTTAATATAACACAATGAATATCCGAAGATTAAATTGGGTAGGTACAATAAATATTTGTAAGTACCTATCTGATATCTGTATAGAATTTGAATATATCTCTTTATCGGTTGTAGTTGTGTTTTTGCCAGTATCGTCTTAACATTTCTCACTTATCATCGATCAATTCTTCCGCCTTGCGTTTAAGAAACGTATGAAAAAACACAAAAGGGTACGCATTATGGTATTTATAAGAAAGAAAGGAAATCCTTCCTAATATTACAAACTAGCTCTGTCCGCTACTTCGTCCGCTTAAGTCATTCTTTATGACAATTGTTTGAACGATTAAAGCACTAAGATTGGATCTCATCAACCAAATATTTAATACTAATGCTACTCTTCCTAAAATTTGCTAATATTTTATATGACAATGTTAACTATTATGGTATAGTAATAGTAAGCAAATAGATGGAAGGAAAAACCCTAGATGTTTTATTAAAATTGTTTTTTTTTCCTGAACGCTATTGGTTTTTTTGTTACAATAAGTTATACACACGATACGTCTCAAATTAATTTTATTATGTTTGCAAATATATTTTTAGAGGAGCAAAATCTCAACTTATTAATAAAATAACTACCACAATGACTACTCCATTAGATATTATAATTCTTAATTTTATCTTATCTTTTTTAATTTTACTCTCATTATGTTTACTGAATAGGGATTTACTTTTTTTATATTATACTTTTTCATTGTATTTAAATTAGTTTAGAGTTTATTCATATTATAATTGCCTATTCATAAATCTGTACGTAATTTGTACCAATTTTTTTTATTATAAATAAAACAAAACAAACATATACTTTGTTAACGATAAGTATACACATACAAATTGGTCCTACGAAAAATACGAAATAATGCCCATTTGTAAGTATGTTGTCATACGTGACCTAGTGAATCATTGCTATTCTGATTCACAGTGATCAATTGTAATTCCGATCACACTAATTATTTTCAAGAACACTATTTCTAAATATTTATTTAAAAAGATAATTAAATAATTAGGCAGAATACCTGTGATATAATAATGTAACGTGGCTATTAAAATGAAATTAAGATTAAAAATTGTAATTTTAAAATGCAACACTAAGATAAAAGAGTAAATTCAATATGGCTCCAAAACAAACTAATAGATATAACTTAAAAAAAGTACATATAACAGACTTTAAATCTATGTCCAGCAATGGACGGATAATGGCTAAAATGATAATAATGATGATTTATTTACTCTTTATTACTTACTATATATATTATATCACTTAAAGAATAATACAAACAATTATGAAGTATAAAAGGCGGTCTTATCGTTAAAGCAATTTTATGTTAGATTGTAAAGGAAATCTTTTGTTTAAATTTGATATTTCTAGCTTTAGTTGTTTCGGCTGTACTTTGATGACTCAGTTAGGATTTTTTTCTCTATAATAAAGTGCAGTTATAGATTAGGGACCGCTATCGGCAGGGAATCCATCCTCACAGCTTAGAATCAGAATGATCACTCATAGAGCGGTTTCAGAGCTTACGTTTGCGAACACTCATTTTGTAGAATAATTTTCTTGTCGAAGCTTTCCCTAGACACTATAACATGGGGTTTTTAAAAAGGGCGTATTAAGATTTTTATTTAACGATAACCCCGTTTACCATCAGACAGGCCATATATTTGCCACCATAGTTGTATAAAAGCAGGGCATGTATTAATTTTAGTTGTAATAAGTTTATAAATTTTGTACACATACCTATAGTATGATCTATGTACTTAAGTTAAAAAAAACTAAGTCTTAATGTTTTTATACTTAGGTATTTAGATGCATATAGTTTAGAATGTTCATAGCAATAGTTTGCCGTTCCAAGTTGCATAAAAAAAGAAAACCTTTTCTTTTATAAAATTCTAAAATTTATCAACGGTTTTTATAGTAACAGTAATAAGTTATAATTGCAACTATATACCAGTGCGAAACCGAGTTGGATTACTAGTATTAAATATACGAGTATGATGCAAAAATAAAATGCACATGATTAAGGACATCATAGCAGCATTAACGTACATATATAAGTATTTATATATATATATTACTAGTACATATAGGTGAGTCAGTATGTGCAAAAAGCAGCCAATTTACTAGTATACTGATAACTACAAGAAAAACTCCATTATAAATTGTAAATAAAAAAAATACAGTACGCTTACATATCGTATTCGTTATCTATTGGCGATGTGGGAATAGTTTACGTCATATATTATTGTAAATACCTAGAGCTGTTTTATAAATGTGAATTTATTAACATGAAAAAGAAAATGATTTTTATCAATATCATATCACAATACACATCATCACATCAACCCTTAATACATACGTGCACGACAGGCATTTTACGAGCTTATTGAAATATTTGGCGTGGTTGTATTCCTTTTGTGCAGACGATGTTAAAAAAATATTAGTTTAATTATAATAATACGAGCACTTTATCTACAATTTTTGTTTTAATTAGTATGTGTATATTTTTATTCATAATTAATAATGCATGAGTACAATTAAAGATTCGTAACCTACACTACGTAATAGCGTGTGCAAATAAAAGACTTCAACGGGTATCACTCGCGTGTCATTAAATTTCTATATTATTTTATACGTCTAAAACACTGTTGTTGCCATAGACTCAAACGGAATATAATGGGTATACAAATATGTATAGATAAACAACGAAAAAAAAATGTTTGTCAAATAAAACATTATATAAGTTATATTATCTATTTATTCGGAGATTCTTATGTAGATTTGAGATATTCGATTGTCATTCATTAATGATTTCTAATAAACAAACAACAGTATGTGTACATGTCACTGATAACAACGAAGAGTAGACACCTTTACGTTATATACAATTAAAACTAAGAGTATCTACAGGCGATTGGTCGTTTTCAGACTTGTAATTATTATAATAGCTTCATTAATTACATTTTGTCACTTCTAAATACAGTTTTAGTACATTTAATATCACCTTTACAAATAATTTATAGCTATTTACATGATAAATATTTAAATTATTTATTGAAAACAGTCAGAAATAATAATAGGTAGATATCGAGAGGTTGAAACAGTGATCCAGCGCATGTGAAATCAGAAGTATAAATTAAATTGTGTTTACCATAGAAATTTTAAGAAATATAGATAAATAGTTTAAAAAGAAAAGAATATGTATAAGAAAAATTATATCATAAAAAATAAATCTAATTTCTAAAATATTCAAGAAAGCAATACACATCCGTCGGCATATTTATATTTTTTTTATGTGTATTCACAATATTGTACAGCACTAGTATTAAAACACATTCTAGGTATCTGGGGGATGTTGTTGGTCCGTGGGGCTAGGGGGCGCAGGCATCGCCGGCGTGGAATGCCGCCGCAATTGCTGTAGTAACGCCGGGTCTAGCGCGGGCCACCAGCCGCCAAGCAGTGGGTACTGCGCCGCCGGCGCCACTGGCGCGCGTGTCTCTTCATCCGTCGCACGGTCTTCTTGGTCACTAGCAACCACGTCTATATCCTCCTCAGGCTCCTCTTCGCAGCTGCTGTCACGTCGTTGTAACTTAACAGGCGCATCGTCCGGCGCCAGCAGGGACGCGACATCAAATTGTCTTTTTCTCGCCTGTCCACTGCTGGGAATCCTACCGGTCCCCCAGAAAGGCAACGGCAATGCCGTCGGCGGTGGTGACTGTGGCGGTGGAGATGGTGAGTCCTCACCATCATCATCCACAGCTAACCCCATGTGTTTCCTTACTTTTCTTTGGGCTTTGCGTCTTCGGAAATCTCCTTTTCTGAAATCTTCAATATTTGCTGGATGTATTGCCCAGTAATGCCCTTTTCCGTTTGCTGATCTTCCAGCTTTCACGAAACAGTCATTGAGAGATAAATTATGTCGTATCGAATTCCGCCAGCCGGGTCCACGGCTACGGAAATAAGGGTAATTATCCAAGATATGTTGATAAATGTCCGATAGCACTAGTTTTCGTTCCGGCGAGCTCAGGATTGCCATAGCGATGAGACCAATGTAGCTGTGTTGGGGCTTTGGTTCTTCTGGCTGCATGACTCGTTGCTGCAGCAGTGACATGGAGAGCGCGAGCCGTGGTGCGTACGGCGCGTAACATGGTGCTACGGTGGGTGGATAAAGGCGCAGTCTCTCCGCAACGGCGTAATTGTAAAGTTGTAAACGGTAGTGGTCTATCGCGGCGGCGGCGACTGTCGGCGCGTCCTTACCGAGCGGCCAGGGACCTCCCTCGGATCCGCTGCACATGTTGTTGTGACGAGAGCGCGGCGTCGAGTGCGTTCGGTGGCTGATTCGACTGCGTGGCGGCGCGAGTGAGCCGGTCCGAAGGCGGCGGCCTGCGCCCGCTGTAGCCAATCGTGACCGAGTCGTTCGTTGTATACATGTTTTTGTTTGGCGACGCCCCACTCCAGCGGCTTTGCGACTCCACGCGCCCTGCCTTGAGGCTATCAGTACTAATAGCAACAACAAAATATTTCAGACAGACTATTTAGTTCTTAAAAAATATTAATGAATTTTGACAGAATATTATTAATGCCTTGCTGTTCGATTGGCACTGTAAAACAAATTAATTTATTAATTTTTTGTGACTCACCGCGCCTTTGCTTAATAGTCTGTAGTAACGATTATTTTCTTCTTTTTTGCTGTGATGGGACTTCCTCTTAAATATACAAATTACTTGTTTACTTTTAATTCGCTCCTAACTGTTTTTATACACGGCTGTGTTCTCTATAACATGTCTTCTGCGACAGTGGCGCTACTGACGAAGGCGGCGGTGCGCTTAAACTTGACCGAATCAAAGTACCTACAAGCGGGCGGGAGATATTCAAAATAAACAGAAACCCAACACTTGCTACTGAGTAATGTTGGTATTTTCATGCACTATTACGGTAGATAATTGTATGAGATTTTTAGGGAACTATTTGATGCGGAAAGTCTATTCACCCTCTATATCTTATCGTATCGTATATAGCTGTCAGTGAAATGTAGTCACAAGGTAGTCGAATAACAAATATCATCAATAAAATGGAGGTATAGTGCGGCAAACTTATCTGGCCCGGTGACGAGGGCGGTTCGATCGACTTTAAGTGAAAATGTAACCAATTTTAGGGATGAACAGAGAAATTAAAGAAAGGATAGGTAGACTAAAATGTATTCCAAATACAAGGTATTTAATAATTTTATATACATATATATATATATATATATATATATATAGTACCTATGTTGATTGAATTTTAATAATAAGACTATATTATTATTAAAATTTGTATTATATATAAATATAATACCAATTATATTTATATACAATACAATCATAATTTGATATAAGTGGCGACATCTTGTGAGACATTTTACTATTTTAATAGTTTTATGCAAACAGCCAAGTGTCAAGCAGCAATTAATAATTAAGTTAAATAGATGTCGCTGCACAAACTTCACAATATTGACATAACAATCGAACTATACTAATTTATAGGTTATTAATTAAAAGTTATTCAAAAATATTAAAAAGGATAATTGCTGGCTATACCTATTAAATTTAGATAACGTTTAGTTATTATGACTTTAATTGACTGATTTATACAAACATATAGTTAAAAGCTTAAAATATACTAATTAAATTAATTTATCAGGACAGAGCCTATGCTTTGCAACTACCGGTTTTTTGGTCTCTATAATCTCTATCTAATCTGTATCATTGTTTGCAAGGAACAATAAAGAGTTGTCATTCATTCATATAAGTTAATAGACCAATAGAATATCGCTCGTCTCTAATTAGTGTCTAAAAATTTGAAAATTCTAATTAACTATTTCGTATAGTCCCGGCACAGAATGAGTCAACCCTTCGTTTTCCATGAGTGTCATAAGAGATTACTAAGGGAGCTTAATAGTTGAGCAGTGACCCTCTTAGCTTGCCAAACGTGGCAATTACTAGCAAAATCCTCCAATAGGAAAGTCTATGGGTAGCAGTGGACAGTTAAAGGCTGATATGATGAATTAACCGTTACAATTCTTATCCATAGTTCCATTTTTTCTTTTATATATAAATAATTTGTTTTAAATGCTTCCCTGTTATTTTTGCGATATCACAACACGCAACAACACATTACTTTTCAAGAGACGAGCGAAAACAAGACGCCAGTAGAAAAATAGCTCTCCTTCTTTTTCCGGAACGAAGATAGAATAAACGTTGCATATGTCGGGGCAGCGTGGCTGTAATACTGTTTGCTCGCTCGTTTGGTTGATGCATATTGTGTGCATATTAAAATTATAATTTATTTCATTTGAAAATCTTATCTTGAAGTACAGGTGTGCTACTTTTAAATGCTTTAACCAGTATGGTTTTTTCTTTTCATAATTGTTAGATCTGCAATGAAAATGTCTGGCAGTGTTTTATTTTCATATATAATATATCTTTTTTTTAAAGTAGTATTTATTTTTTGTTTTATTTTTACTTGTGTCACTGCTCTGATCTGAATTACACGTTTTATAAAACTTCTCTTTTTTTACTATTATTTAAAAAAATATATAGTTATAGTTTTTTTTTGCTAACCTTACCGCACGAAACCGTTACAAATGACAACTTCGTAGAGAGTGCTTCCCTGTTATTTTAGCGATATCACAACACGCAACAACACATTACTTCTCAAGAGACGAGCGAAAACGGGACGCCAGTATAAAAATAGCCCTCCCTCTCTTTGCGGGACAAAGATAGAATAACGTGCAACAGTTTCATATGTCGGGGTAGAGTGGCTGTGATACCGTTTGCTCGCTCGGTTGGTCAATGCAAATTGATCTTTGCGATCGTTGTGATAAGCGCGAGATTTGTAATCGACGGTGGAAATCTTAACGCATTGTTCTGGCCGTGAATGAGAAATGAAAATAAAGAGGCTGTGGCAGTGAGCCCGGTGGCGCGGACTGTCTGCGAGTGTGAGCGGGCCAGCGCACGTATCTGTGAAGCGTGGCGGCCCAACAATGTAGTTGCCGCCCATTTAAATACGCCATTTTGTTTACTATCTCTACGGCTTGTGCTTTGTGTTTTATACAGAAAGCAGTGTTTCGTGGAATAACGAAATTACAGGAAATATTTACCCGTTCGTAGCGGAGACAATAGCGCTACGGGAAACCGTAGCCGATTCGTAGCCCGCTTTGTTTACGACATTTATTTCCTCTTGTATACGACATTTATTTCGTCGAACGTACTTCTATAGAAGGATTCACAATTTCTTTGTCTTCATACTATATTTTTGTTGCATACTTACCTATCTACCATAAATATACCTACGTGCTATTAAACGTTAGGTAATAGTATTAAGTATTTTCAAGTTTCTAAAGATAATTTGAATATTTGTTACTTAATCTCGTTTAAATGGCCGGATAAATTTTAATCAAATTTTTAAAATATACATAGAGCTATTCTACAAATGATTTTACATATTCAGTCAAACAAAAAACAAAGAAGTAAAAATAAAGAAAAAGAAAGAAAAAAAATATTTTAAGTTACTTTAGGTACATATATGCGTCTAAATATAGGGATATTATCTAAAATAACTCAAAAAATCTTTTTTATTTTTTACCTATATGCGTTTGTTTGCTTTATACATGCATTAAATTCTTTACCATATACTACATACCTATACCATGTTATCTACCCGTAGTACCTACATATAACGACACCTTTTTATATCACCAGTTTTGAGTTGATTTTGATAATTATTTTTGCAATCCATAATGTTTATGAGTATATGTGTTCTTGTATTAATCGCATATAAATTTTATGACAGGTGTAATTGTTATTTTTCTCTACGAAATTTTGCTCCGTACTCCCTATGAAGCAAATAAAAAAATTTTGAAAGTCCTAATTTAAAATGTTTTTAATGTAATCTTTCTACGAAATTTATTATTTCAAATTATAATAGAAGTTAATGTTTTTTTATAGTAAAGTTGGTGTTTTATAGTAAAAATGTTTTAGTCTTATAATTAAATTAAATAAGTAAAATACTGCGACCTAATTATTGTAAATATTCAATAAGAATGTTAGTATCTACCTGCGTCATCATCATCATCATCATCATCGTATCAGCCGTTGACTGTTCACTGCTGAATACAAGCCTCCCTCTTGGGGGGGGGTTTGCCAGTAGCTGCCACGCTTGGCAAGCGGGTTGACAACCACAGATAGGCTTTGGTGATATTTTAAGAGGGATGCTACTGTCCATCCCTCGACCGTTAATTTTTCTTGGTCGCCTTTTACGACATCCACAGGAAAAACAATGGTCCATTCTGCCTGTGTAATATCATCACAATATCGAAATAAACGATGGGATTGTTCAAAACGGTCACGTGACGAAATGCGCAGTTTTAAAACAAACGATTGACTGCACGCACAGCACATGCATTTTAATGTACAAATAGGTTTTATTTTATTAAATACTAGCGATCCGCTCCGGCTTTGCATATCTAAATAAATGTATAAAGAGAAATTATATTTTGCATTAGCAAATTTTTGGTACCTTGGGTTATCTAATTTATCGTATTTTTCATAGGGATCTCTAAATTTCTTTTAAAAATAACATTAAACCAATGTTACTCGTTAATAATGTAGATTTGTACAAGTAAAGGAATTTTTAAAATCGGATAAGTTATTTTTGTTATTTTAATCCATTCAAAATCCATACAAAAAAAAAAATCAAATCTTTCCTCTTTACTGTATTAGTGTAGTCTAGCTTGTGTCCGTAACTTTGTATGTATAGATTTTGGAAGTAGATAACTACTTATATTAAGATAAAACATACACTAGGTTTTAAATTAGACTTTCAGAAACATTACTATGTGTAACCGTATTCAATTTGGTTTAGTAGTTTTTGCGTGATGCCAAAACAAACATACAGATATACACACAAATTTTTTAAAAATTATTGTTTTTTTTTTAATATCTACTGGTATTATTAAGAACTCTATTACTTTTTCTTAAATATTTGCCATATACAGACATTGTCTAGTTAATTTTTTTTATATTAGTGAGATAGCACAAATACCTAGATAAGGAATAAAAAAAATTAGAAAAGGGATTGTTAGTGATGGGGTCTAACTACCACCTTGTTAGCGATATACCCTTTCAGGTAGACTTCCAAACGTTTCTCCTAGAAACTATCGTTCATTTATATATAGGATTACCAACATAAGATACAGCTAAACATTTTAATACAATACATTGGTAGATTAGATCTTACTGTTCTTACATTTATAGGCAACCACAGCATGCCTTGTGTTTGATAAACATTAAAATATAATTAAACTATTAAATGTCATTATATGAGTAAAGATATTAACAATGTGAATAAGAATATAAATAAAAAAAAATCATTTAATTTTTTCAAACATTTCGTTTAATGTTGAATTCCTCATTGTTGGCCAACTAACCTACTTCATCCTCATCCATTATCTCTCACTCGTGCCCCGCCAGTGTATACTAGTTACGCAGGCGGGATCACTATTTCATTTTCACCTATCC